AAAAAAAAAAAAAAAAAAAAAAAAAATAAAAAAAAAAAAAAAAAAAAAAAAAAAAAAAAAAAAAAAAAAAAAAAAAAAAAAGAAGAGGAATAAAACTACTTTTTGATATTGACATAATTATATTTTTATTTGAGCAATACGAAGGGCTCGATAATGCAAGTCAAACGAAAGTTTATATCCGACTAATACTGTATTTTTATTAAATATAAAGTACACGGCAATTAAAAGTTTCCAACCGAATAAATCAATTAAATCGACAAACTATAGACGTTTACAATGAATGTAAGATGGGGGTGCATTTATTTGTCTACGTCAAAAAATTTTCTGCCCGTGAATTCGTGGCATCGTCCAAAACTCGGAGAATACTTATTAATTTCAGATATTTTAGAGGAAATATCTTGCTTGGCCTTAAAGAATATACAACATTAATCATTATTTATTATCTTAATATTAAGAGGTAGAATACGAAATTTTCTAAAATCTGCAAAATGCCTTGTGTAAAATGATGCACAAAGATGCAAAAATTTGTGTTTTTATCGACGTTCTCGGTATTTGCCGACGACTAACCTAAAAACGCCGTTGGTGAAATAATTCCGGTCCGCTTGGCCACGACAATAGCTGTCCCCGTTTCCATAAAGGGCACTGTAAAGTCAACTACGGCTTCCCTTTCCGAATTGATCTTCAACGACGTCATTACCATATCGGTCTTGCGATTAACCAGATCCGCTATCAATCCGTTCCACTTGCCGTTCTGCAAATTATGAAAAACACAGGCACGATTATTTTATTCGACTCGGTTGATTAAACTTAGGATAACGGGGGCACGAGTATGGGGATTCTTTTGATTTGCCATCAACAAAATGAAGAGTTTAACCAATGTGCAAAAGTTTAATGGCTACATGCTAATCCATAACAAACATAAACTATCATTTACGTAATTACGTGTAATACTCGTGTATCGGCAGATTTACTTTTTTAAGCCCAAATAAAGCTGAATCCGAAATTTTGTAATACTCACTTACATGTGTTTTCAAACTTTTCATATATCATTATCCTTTATAATGTTAGATTATTGCAAAATCTTAAATTATGCTGTATTACGTTTTTCTTTCTCGATATTTCAAGCCATAAAGAATGTTTTCGTTATTACTTTTAGCGAATTATCGAAGAATTTAATCCAATAAAGCAGGAAAGCAAGCGAGCACGGACATTAATATCCAGACGCATGTGAGATTGTAAAAGAATACTTTTAATCGTAGATTATTGTTATACTACTCAATCACTATAAGGTTCTTACCTGCCTATAGATATAAATTTTACGAAGGTCATTTAAAGTTTTCGTTACGAGTATGTCTGTTTAACTATAAAACAAAAGAAGAAGAAGAAAAAAAAAATCAGTGATAGAGTTTTTATTGCGATGTAAACAGTCAGCCCTTTAATATATTTATTTGTTTATTTATTTATTTTTATTACTTTTGCTTTTTCTATTCGTTTCGAAGACTCGCTGGCTTATATTAATTCTACAATACGAAATATTTAAAGCTCACTTGAATAATAAATAATTGCATTATTAAATATTAAATTAAAAAGTTAATAGTGGTGAACTTAATTGGAGTCGTAATGAGACTCGGAGGGCTACTTTCTCAAATGAAATAATAAGGCATTATATTGGCCATAAATTATTCTAATGAGTCCTGATATCCGAACTTAGTTCTGCTAAACTACGTATTAAAAACATGATACTAAGATATATAGCTTAAAGCGTCGTAAGTCGACAAAATGAATGATACGATTTACTTAAAATTGTCCTTGGGGATATAATAACTACAATTATTTTATTTTAAAATTTCATGAAAATTACCAGTGAAAAATCACTCGATCTCATCATTTAACGCAATAACAAAATTTCATAGATTATACATATAAGACTATTTATTTTATCGTTATTCTATTAAATCAAATATTACTTTAATATGCATTGAAAGTCTATGCAAATAGCTTAAATATATATATATATATATATATATATATAGTCTTCATAGGAAATAATTATTTACGACTAAATAAAGCGTGAGCCATGATAAATTCATTAATATCTACGAGATAAACAAATTGACAAATTATTTACTTAATTCACATAATTTACCTTATTATTATTAATAATATTTATTAATATAATACTATATTTTCAATAAATATTTATTCGAAACGGAGTTCTTTATTGTATTCATTATATTTAAGCAGCGCTTTTCCAATGCTAAATAACTGGCCGAAATCTATAATATCTCCCTCATGTTTTTCAATAAAAAACAAAAAAAAAAAAAAACCGTTAACGTCCCACAAAAATATTTTCCCCTTGTACACGTGGACGTAGCTATTGCGTAAACTCATATTTATATGCCTAAGAATGTACGTAAGCGAGATTAGATTGCGATTCAGCGAGGCCAATCATTACTCTACATTAATAATTGAAATCATGGGAGTAACATATGATTATTACTAAATTTGTTAATTACGGTTTGAATTTTAACAACGCGTCCGAGCTAATAATTGACAGCTGCAGGCAAAAGACGAATTACTTCAGGCGCTCTGACTTATCCGACGGTAGAAGGTAGTTTTGGAAAATCACGTACCATGCCACCTCAGCTTTATCATCGGTAATCTTACTGACGGCCTTATCGCTTATCCCGAGTCTACAGGTAGTAGCTCTATATACTTATATCAAGGATCGCCGCGACATTTTACGGCTGTCACTTGACACGGGTGCAACGCTTGTCCGTAATTCCGCCGCGCTACTATTACCTTCTTTATCTTATTTATGGCAAAATTGTAAATAAATTGCAAAGGAGAATGAGAAAAAGAAGAAGAAGAAGAAGAAGAAGAAGAAGAAGAAGAAGAAGAAGAAGAAGAATGAAAAATTCTACCTCGAGATAGCTTCTTTGCGGTTTCATAGATTTCTCGTCGTCGTCGTCGTCGTCGTCGTCGTCGTCGTCGTCGTCGTCGTCGTCGTCGTCGTCGTCGTCGTCGTCGTCGTCGTCGTCGTCGTCGTCGTCGTCGTCGTCGTCGTCGTCGTCGTCGTCGTCGTCGTCGTCGTCGTCGTCGTCGTCGTCGTCGTCGTCGTCGTCGTCGTCGTCGTCGTCGTCGTCGTCGTCGTCGTCGTCGTCGTCGTCGTCGTCGTCGTCGTCGTCGTCGTCGTCGTCGTCGTCGTCGTCGTCGTCGTCGTCGTCGTCGTCGTCGTCGTCGTCGTCGTCGTCGTCGTCGTCGTCGTCGTCGTCGTCGTCGTCGTCGTCGTCGTCGTCGTCGTCGTCGTCGTCGTCGTCGTCGTCGTCGTCGTCGTCGTCGTCGTCGTCGTCGTCGTCGTCGTCGTCGTCGTCGTCGTCGTCGTCGTCGTCGTCGTCGTCGTCGTCGTCGTCGTCGTCGTCGTCGTCGTCGTCGTCGTCGTCGTCGTCGTCGTCGTCGTCGTCGTCGTCGTCGTCGTCGTCGTCGTCGTCGTCGTCGTCGTCGTCGTCGTCGTCGTCGTCGTCGTCGTCGTCGTCGTCGTCGTCGTCGTCGTCGTCGTCGTCGTCGTCGTCGTCGTCGTCGTCGTCGTCGTCGTCGTCGTCGTCGTCGTCGTCGTCGTCGTCGTCGTCGTCGTCGTCGTCGTCGTCGTCGTCGTCGTCGTCGTCGTCGTCGTCGTCGTCGTCGTCGTCGTCGTCGTCGTCGTCGTCGTCGTCGTCGTCGTCGTCGTCGTCGTCGTCGTCGTCGTCGTCGTCGTCGTCGTCGTCATCGTCGTCGTCGGAGGCAAAATTATTCGGCCAAATTCTATATCGCCTCTCTGAATGCGCGTGTCTGAATTTTGTTTTCCCTTTTCCTATTTTTTTACTCGTTTCTTTTATTTTTATTCAATCGCTCGCTTCGATTACACTGTTAATTTGTTTGTTTGTTTGTTTGTTTTTTTGTTTTTTTTTTGTTTTTTGGCTTTTTTTGTTTTTTTGTTTTTTGGCTTTTCATTTTTAAAGCGTACCATCTAATACATACAATTTGTATTGTTCGCTACAAAATGCAAAGAATTATTGTACAACGACGAAAGTTATTGTATTTTCAAGTAAATACCATTGCCTCGACGCTCATAAAGCGCGAAAATAAATAATAGCTGGAATATTTATTTACAGGGCACCGCTGGCTCGAAAGATTCTAGACTTTTCTTCACTTATCACCTCGTCCTTTTCTCCTTTCAATTTAATTATCGACAAAGCACTTTTTATCTCGCCTCGTTCTATTTAAGCCATAAAATTAGAAACTATAAAATTTCATGACGACTCCCCCCAACCCCCCAACCCCCCAACCACCCAACCACCGCCCCTTATTTTTTCTTCAATCGTGCTATCTTCGCTTTCGAAATCGCAATGCGCTCGAGCAACAAAGTTTGGAAATTCAATTCACTATTCGTTGAAAATTCAAATTCATTATAATTGTTATATAAATCAACGAATAGCTATAGTCAATCGATAATATTCTTTATGGTGATCTATTTCGATGTAGATCTATCTCCGATAGGGCATAAAAACAAACAACAAACAACAAACAACAAAGAACAAAGAACAATGAACAAAGAACGAAGATAGAAGGAAAAAGACTTGGCACGAGTGAATTTGCGAATATTCACGTACAAGTTTAACTCATAAATATTTCATCTTGAAAAACGGCAGTGCTCTGTTCTCTTGAAATAAATGAACTAACACCAACTAACTTTAATCGTTGTATATCAACATAAGCGATCGTTAAATAATCGCATATTATTATTAGTCGGCTAAATAATTTCCACCGATTTAACCTACATTAACGCGATATAAATAATTGTATCGTTCGCGAGATAAAGTTTCTTGCCTATCCGTTAAAACGTGACCGATCAAACGCAAATAAAAGCAAGAATGCTCGGCTAAAATTTTAATGCCGAATTAAAACCAAATCCAACACATTGTTATCATTTTATTAATGTTAATTAAATACGTGACCTTATCCAAGCACAAAATAGCATTTAACATTATCGGTATGTCAGTCGGCATTGCAATTTGTCCAATTTATACTCGATCTCATAAATTTACACGCTAAAAGAGCAAAGTATGCGAGCACGCGTAGTCTCGATTTCACTCGCGCCAAATGTTATATCGCCAAAACGAATTTATGTGCGCGGTCGGCTGCATCCCACTGCACTGATCCTATGAAACATTTATCCTCTAATAAGTGTTTCGGAAATACCATGGATAACGAGACTTTTTCTGCGGCTGCCATCATAATTATGTCCCCTTACTTATAAATCCAAACTTATTATCAACCTCAATACCCAAAACCGAAAATACAAAGACCTGTCTCGTTATGATTGACAAAAATAACGGAGCGAAAAGGAGAAGAACAAAACGAAGCAATATACAAACAATTTCGATCGCGATGAGTGATCGAGCAGCGCAACTCGCTTCAATCTCTACACTCGCCAGATGAATAAATTATCCTAAATGTGACGAATCTACTCATTTTTTTTATTTCAGCCACGACGTGTACACAGAGCGATAGCGAGCAGGACTCTTTAGAAGCGCGTGTCCCTGCCATAATAAATGATTCTCGTCTCGATGCTTTGAAATATTAGTTTAAAAAAAAAAACAAAAACAATACCTCTCGCGCACAAGCAAACGCGCGCCCATTCAATAAGGCTCCTTTATCGCCGTACTCCGCCATCCATCCATCCATACGGTATTACCATTTAAAAGCCAACGATCTTAGCGGTAAATTTCGCGTGAAAACCGGCCCCTCCAGTGCCTCGCAATGAAAGGCAATGAAAATCGAAAGAGGTCGGTCGGCTCAACTTAAGCCCTTAGACTCTTAATAAGCGTGAGGCGAAAATGGCGACAGAGGGGGAACTTGGGACCAGAGGGAATCCGGGAGGAAGTTTCGTCGACAGTTTGACAAACTTACCTCTAGCGTGCCCCACTTGCCGTCTTCCACGCGGACAAGCTCGTATGTAAATCCCATTTCTTCGGAGAATTTCTGCAGCAGGTCGATGCAAAAGCCACTGCAGCACTGGTAGGCGCTGTCGTTCCGCTGCTGGGCCGTCTGCGCCTCTGACCTGAGAGTCAAAACGTTAATGCAAATGGCAAGCGGAAGTAGCCTGTTGGGAAGGAACAAAGAAGCGCGCTATCATCCGTCTCGTGGATAGGTGGCTTTGCTTCTTTCTTTTTTTTTTTTTTTTTTTTGGAACGATGAATTCGTGCACACGGTTGCCTTCATAGAAATCTACCTACGCAAGTATCGATCGAGTTTTTTTTTCTTTTTTTTTTTTTTTCGACCAATGTATCTCGCGCCCTCGCCATAGAAGACTTTTCTTTTACACCAACAGCATAAATCCAGACTCAATCTGTCGTTAGTTTTTAGCATCATTTAGTGAAACTCGGCCAAGCGGATATTAAGATCTCCCGTATCTGTAAAAGTTCCCGCTTTTAGCATCTTTAATTAAACGTGTTATATTGCAGGTACATACGTCAAAGCTCCGTATGCATGAGCTTTTTAGTTTAAATACATAGGCCAAAAGCTTACTACGCCTCTCTGACAAGAACATTATGCAAACGAATTTTCAAGTAACACGCCAAAGCAAAAAGTTATATTTCCGAGTTTAATTAAACCAACTCGGCCGAAGTTACATTGACTTAAGAGCCAAAACCTGCATATGCCCTTGAACTATCGTCACCTCCCATTTCTAACGGATACCGAATGCGGATTTAATGTGGTTGAATATGTGCGGAGGATCGAAGCATCGAGGACTCGACGAGACACTCACTCCTGGAGCTCGTAGTCCTTGGTGACACGACAATGGACGCCTCGCTCCATGAGGCATTTGCCCGTTACCGGGTCGGGTGGCGCCATGTTTATGTACGGCGGCTCCTCTAGGAACGTGATCTTCACGTAGAACTTTTCCGGGACACCCTGGGGCGGAGTGTGCATGTTGCCCGGCCAGATTATGTCCTTGATGTCGAGACCGTCCTTCTCCCAGGACTTCCACGCGCCAATCTGGTAATACGTAGCATTGCCCTTTTAACGATTATGCGCGACTCGTGTGGTCCGTGTGGTCCGTGTGGTCCGTGTGGTCTTCTTTAATCGAACGATACGCGACCGAGTGACGTTAAAATATCCACGTCTGATTTCGTTTCGTTAGATAAAGCGATTGTCGCATTGGACGTTCTCTTAGGTCAATAGAATTAACGGGCTACTCGACGATACGATTTTCCGCTTTTCTAAAATCTTTGAATTAAAACTCATTGCATTTAGCATTTGTTGCCTTGGATGAGAATTCAGCTCTCTCGCTGCGTTTGAGCTTCCGAGTCTTTGGATCCTTAATTACAATTGATTTTAGAACGATCCTATTTAATATTGGCTGGCCAAGCAAAAATTGATACTACTTTATTCTTTAAAATGCGATTAAAGAAAGCTCGCCAATTTCCTATATTTAAAAGACACGAATTAAATTAATGAATTACCGTAACACGGATACAGACGACAATAAATGAACGATTACGTTAATGATATTGAGCGATTACGTTACGATAAACTCGCAAAAACGTCCATACGTATAATTTGTTCGTCATCGATTTGTTCGAATGAGAATCTGTATGACCGACTGTATTAATCGTATGACGCTAATACCCAAGCTTCACGGCAAAACAAATGGAAATATCGCGCTCGCAAATAAATTGCATAAACGAAATTGATTGTCTCTTATTATTGGAAGATCGAGACCGATGTTTGCTCATTATCCTATGCTGCTTCGTCGTATGCTCAAACGAATTTATAAGGAAACCAGCGATTCAATCTACTTCGCGATTTGCTTTGAATTTACGTAAAGTTAAGTAGGACAGACTCGTCAAATTGAGTCATAAACGATCGAGGGAAGCGCGAAAACAAAATTACCTCTTCCCAGACTAACTGCATACTGGCGCCTGGTCGTAGATTCATGATCTTCAGCTCTGCGGATTTTAAGACACCATCCTGTGTGAACTCAACGTGCGGCTTTCCATTCTCCACCTCCACCGATACGTTTTTCAAATACCTATACAATATTTCAATTACTGGCCACATGACATGTACGTAAAAGAGGTACGCACATGCAGGCAAGTCCGCACACCCACAGATTATGTTTGGAATGAGGAGGAGAGTACAATTATTGTAAGGTAATAAAATGTTGGCTAGAGAGAGTAGAGGCGACGAATCGTATGGTTTATCCATGTATAATTTTTATATCGTAAAAATTGAATTAAATTTCATATTACGAGCAAAATGAAATAAAATCCGCGATACATCGCAATAACGAGCTACCGATAGTTTTATTAAACAAGTGTATTACTACATTAAGACAATAAATACAATGAAAAAATGTTCATAGTAAAAATTTCAAGTAAATTTTATGTTATGTATACCGATTATCATATTTATATTGATTAATAAAAATCACGTTTCTATCATAAGTAACTAATGTGTTGTAGATAAGCTTTTATATTTTACATACTATACGTGATCTAAAATACAGCAAAACCGATCACTTCGTACGGATGCATAATCGCAGTTTAAAATATATTAGTGATGTTGCGGTTATTATTATTCAAAACAACAACAACAACAACAACAACAACAACAACAACCAAGAAAAAGTGCAATTTTTTTAAGTTTTTTTTTTTCTCTTTACTTTTTTCCCAATAAGTAGTTGTATAGATGCAATTTTTTTCTATTTGTGTTCAATGTACAATATTTGATGGGATCTTTATCACTTTTTCATGGCACGTTCGAGTTGTGAATGGAATAGATGGTACGAGTTTAGATAGAAAATATTGCTAGGAATATAGAAATAAGCAGCGATAAATAACCAATGAAGATAAAAGGTATTTTTTTAAAGAGACTATAATGATAATTTTAAATCGTATAAACAGATACTGTAAGTTCAACTCTACACGTTACTCTTAGTAAATATATCCAACACAATAATTCTTTATTCGAATTACCGCAAATCGTTCAGCCAATATATTTTATAGCCATTTAAGAATAGTTGCATTTTTATAGATTACAGTTTAAATCGAGTACCTTAGAATGTCTCGATACGTGCCAATTTGAAAATGAAATCTTAATAAATACGTTTAATTTCAAAATTCAGCGAATTAATGCAATTCAGAAGTTTAATATGCACAATTTATCTAATTACGAAATCGAAGTTACATAAAACAAAAAACAACATTTAACATTAATGAAAGCAATTCATCGTGTAACGAAAATTCTTAACATTTTTATTCCTAAGAAATATTCTAATAAAAAGATTAGTGAATAAAATTCGTGAAATTAACTTGAGAAATTGTCGTTACTTTTTGTGAAAATATCTCTATTCTATATTCAGGGTTAAAATTGAAACCGAATAGAGATTTAGAATTATATTGGACTGAGAACGTTCCATTTTCTCGTGATAATAGGAACAAATTTTATTAACTTTACAAATTTTAATAATTTAATTATTAAGAATAAATACTTGAACTATACAGATAGATATAGACAAATAAATCTTGACATTTATATTAAAAATTACATAACATTAGGTAAATTATTTTTTAATCAATCGTCGTCGTAAGATATCGGACAAATAATTTATATACCCGAATTACAAAGATATTTATCATAAGTTTCATCATCGTTTTTATAGTAACTGTAATAAATATATTATTACAATTAGATAATTGGGAAAAAATAACAATCACATAATAAAAAAAACTCAATGTTAAATTCAATGATTAATTGTCCATAAGAGACTATTGAACGTTAATTTGTAATTCCTATGAGATTCAAACTACCCGTAATTTTCTGTTTCACCAACATTCAATTAAATCAATATATTATATATTATTCATAAAAAAAATATATATATATATATATACATATATATATTCAAACAAAAAAAAAAAAAAACAGCAAAATACATTCTTCTAAATACGAAAAAATGAAAATATATTATAAATCCATAAAAGCTAGTTTTATATAAAACAAAATAAATTTTAAATTATGTTTTTTTTTTAAATTTTATATTGAATAACATTATTTCGCTTCTAACTTTAACATTTTGAATGAATAATGGTTCGATAAAAAATAATCTAATAACTATATGTATTGAATATATAGCAGAGATATTATGTTTACAAATTCATAAAGGAATAATACAAGAAAATCGATAATAAAAAAAAAAATTTATATTTTATTTTTAAACAGTAATATAAATACGAATTAGTAATTATTGAATAAATTATTCACAATTAATAATATACAAATCATACAAACTTTATCATCAAAATATTATTTATTGTAACAAGTCCTAATTTCTTAGTATAATAGTACTTAATAGAAATTCAGCAGTTAAAATGTAAGTTAAACAAAATTATTAATTATAAGACAAATGTAATTGGTGCGGTCTTTTTTTCACTTGGCTAATAAATAATAATAGAAAATAAAGGCAAAACTATCTTATTTGTATGAATTCGATAATGAATTATGATGATGCTTGATGAACACAAAGTTGAGTAACTTTGAGAACTAAGCTCGCGAACTAAGAAAGTCGTTAGAAAAATATTTGAAGTAAAAGAATCAACAACTAAAATGTCTCGTAAGTTATATAATGCACAGAATAATGAGATAGAGAAACGCTAAATTTCACTCGATGCTGCAAAGAATATATGAGTCATGAAGATTACATTAGATAAAAACTACGTAGACAGAATAGCAAATAAAAGAGCAACAGAGAAGATTTTAGTAGAAAAGTCTAAAAATAAAATACGTTTGGATACATCAAGATTAAATAAGAAGATAACATTAAATTAAAGTTAAGAAAAGTAGGTTACGAGGAAATATTCTGAATAGATTGCGGTGCAGAATAGAGAATTGTGATTCTCTTATGTTAATGAGATAGTGTATATTTCAATGTCAAATATTAATTAAAATACTATTATATTAATCAAAATTAAATACACACTCACGCGCGCGCACGCACACACACACACACACACACACACACACATAATTTCTGCACGTATAATGTTTCCAGTTATATTTACTAGTATAAAATATTAGAACTAAATGAAGTTAGTAGACTTGCAACTCGACAAGATGAATTATTTAAGTGTTTTTAAAATAAAATAGATATATTTACAAAATAAATCCCTTAAGCTTTTAAAAACATTAAATTGATAAATATATTTTAATTAAAGTAGTACCATTGCTTTTGACACGGCCATATGTCAACGATATTAATCTAAAAACTACAAATTCGTACAACGTATTGAATATGTTTGGTTTACAATTCAAAAACAATCAAATGGGCACAATAATTATCCTTTTTTTCCCCTATACGCGTTGAAGAAATTTGTACTATTTTTAATGTCTCAGGAAAAGAAATGTGTTAGCTTGTTATTATACCTTAATTAACACTTTACGTATTACTTTGAAACATCATACTTCTTAGAGAAATAGGATAAGTAATGAAGGGAGTTACGTAATAAATTAAGTCTTTGATAATAAAAGTCATAAATAATTATTTTAAATGAGAAATAATATTTTTCCCCATTATAATTAACGTACTCTATAAATATACTTCTAACAGTCATGAATGCAATATATTTTAATAATTTTGTGTTACAAATTATAGAACATTAATTAATTTCTACTATGAAGGTATTATTATTATCAGTAACAGTATTATTATTATTATTATTGTTGTTGTTGTTGTTGTTGTTGTTGTTGCTGCTGTTGTTGTTGTTGTCGTTGTTGTTATTCCTTAAGTAATGTAGCTACTAATTTGATTTAAAATTAAAAAAATAGATAGCATTATACATAAATGTATAAATAATTATTGAACTAATTGTTATATACAAGTCAAAATTCATTAAAAATTTATGTAAGATAATTGTCTATATAATTTCTTTAATGATGTATATATATTTATATATTTATATATTAGAACGATAACAACGGATTCTTAAATTACCGCTGTAAATATTTATCAAAACAATTATATATTGCACATTGACATCTTGTAATCATTGTATTAACCATTAAAATCGAGAAATCTTTAAATAAAAAAATAATTGAATAAAGACCCTCTGTGCTAAACATTAAACGGCATATAACTAACCCAGTGGAATAATTGAAAATAGCATTTTAATTTGCTACGATAATAATAAAATTAAAACGCTCGAGAGTGGCTCGCGAAGAGTGATTTTCTATAATGACAATCATCGTCAATCAAGTACATCGTCGTCTGAAATCGATAGTCTAACGACTCAATATTGCGACAGGTATAAAGCATAATGAGGATATCTTACTTGAAAAAATATTCTCCGGTGTTCCAGCGCGACTCGCCAGTGAGATCCTCGCAACTGAGCTGCGTATTGAGGCTGTAGCCGTAGTTTTTCGGATCATTGACAAAGTCCTCGACGCCGTAGGCAAACACTTTAATTGCCGTTGCTATTTCGTTGACGAGACTCCCACGGCTCGTATTAAAATGCACCCCTGCAATGAATTTTACTTTGGCTATCATTTTTCATATACGGCGCAACTGTCGCCAAGTATATCTGCAAATGAAATCGTATAAAATATGCTCGGCTCTTTCACTTTTCAACGAAGACCTTTGGCCTTTGATGAAATTCTCCGAGAGCGAAGGCAAACGTCGCACAGGAGTTAATGATAATTAGAGAAAAATGGCGATTATAAGCTACAATATTATTATCCATCGTGTAATGTTTTTCTTATACGATTCACACTGATGGGCGACGAACTCGTGTGTGCGTACGCATACAATGGAGCTTTTGTGTAGACAGCTTTTGTCGCCGGTGTGAAAAGGAATTTTTTTTTATTCATCCGAGGATAATAAAATTATAGGCTTTAATGCTAATACCGAATAATTCATTAAACAATTAAACATGAAATGCTCGTTTGTGTAATTCACACTTTATACGATAATGCGAGACGGTGGTGTTGAACTGTGTAAGAAGTAAAAAATTTAATTAATCGCATTTTTTCATTTTCCATACTTTTTTTTTTTTTCATACTTGGGAAAATAGTGCGCCAAGCCCACATATTATTATCAGTGAGTACCCCATGAATTTCAGCATTTGGCCTCGAATTTAAATCGGTATATAGGTGAAGCTCGTACGAATAATCAATAATTCGATAAGCTACCGGTGCAGATATATATATATATTTTTTTTTTTTTTAAAGTACAAAATTACGTATCACGAATTTGGCATTAAAAATATTTACAAGCAAAAAAAGCAATACAGCAATAATAATTAATGATAATAATCTGGCTAGAATTACGGAAGCTTGATGATTTTACGAGAAAATGGTTCGTTGTGAATTTGTACACGCCTCATCTTGAAATTGATTGTCGAGTTTGAAGTTAAGAAAGATTGGCAACGGCGAGCGATGAATTAATGAATGCGTGCGCACATATTGTTAACCGTTAATTAATTAACGTTAATTGCGTGGCGTACATTCGAACGAGCGCCATAATTGCATAATCGACTTAGGCAACGTAGGGAGAAAGTAGAAAATTGTGACAGATGCGATTAACACGAGAGAGGATGTGCGTGAGAAAAAAAACACAGAAAAGAAAAGAAAAGAAAAGAAAAAGTAAAAAGTTGATTATTCACCGATCATGCCGACGGGGAAGTGGTGACTGGGCTGCAAATCCTCGATGACACTTTGCGTGACGACCCACACGTAATTCTCGCCGGTGATCTTGAGCTCCTGCGCGGCTCTGAGGATATTCACTGCCTCCTCTCTGGTCGAGTAGAGGAGCATGACCCTGGACTCGCTGTTGATGAGCTCCATTAGGTCCTGAGGCTCGGTCCAGAGCACCGCGTTCAAGAGGGTGAACTTGAATCGCTCTTGGGTCTCGGAGATGCGCTCGCGCACCGCCTGGACGAAGTCGTCGTGACCTGCGATCTGGGAGGTGACGACGCTGAACTGATGCCACTTGTAGCGCTCGAGGATGCTGAGCATCGCCGCGGTCTGGTGTTCGATAGACGGGGCCAGTTGCAGGTGTAAGCTACTCTGAGACGAGCGCTACGTCAATCACCAAAGACGCGTTTCAAGATCATCATTATACACTCTCGCCATGTTTATAGCAACACGCGCGCGCACATAAAAACATATTATGCATTCTCGTGGGCATGTTCGCGGTGCTGGATGTTGTATTTGGCCCTTCGGTATATCGGTGAGAGTTAGCTTAGAGGAAAATCCTGATAAATATGTCGCGCGCCAACCTTGTTATTATGATTTATCTCTTTAATGTCGTAATGAGAAAAAGTTTCTTAATTGAAGTATTGAGGAACTTTTTCATAAAGCTCTCTCTAAGCCTCTTTAAAAAGCCTACTTTTAGTCAATTTTCCGTAGAATACGAAAGAAAAATTTGCCCAACCTTTAAATTTGAATTAATTCAAAGCGTAGCAGAGACTTGGGGAAATAAGCCAATAAGAATAATGTTCAAACTTTTTCTTAATAATAATATCGTCCGAATATGTAAATCAAAATACCGAATAACCAAAATGTACTCTTTGTGCCGAGAATTAATAAGTACTGATATATATGAGATACCGAGGATACGGTGATGCTGTCGCCAAATTACCGAACCAGCATCGGAGTTGGAAGCTTAATGCTATATAAATAATAAATAAGTCGAGCTCTCGCGAGATAAAAAATAACTACATTATTAGCACATCATACCGAATGAAAGACAGGGCGCGCGCGCGCGTGTGTGTCTGTGAAAGAGAGAGAGAGAGAGAGAGAGAGAGAGAGAGAGCGTCTATATTATACGCTCTGGCTCCTAAACTACGGACACTTCGCGGTAAGTACTACCTACCATGTTTCGTTCTTTCTCCCTTTCTATTGGATTCGATCGAGAGCCCCTGCAGAAAATAAAGCGCCCCCCCCCCACTCTCTCCCAACAACAACGATATCTCCTTCTCAACACGTTCCTCGTTAATCAAGAATTGACCGTGGAGCGAGGAATTGGATATCGCGAATCCGCTTCTCAATGCATCGCTGCATGATCATCCGCAAAATCGATTCGTATTTTATTTCACTTCAATGTCAAAACAATCACGCTGATACGCGACGCGTTAGCAAAATCACGGCATCTCCACCCTTGTCGATGGTACGACGTGGGATAGTGGCTACGTGCCGATGGTCGTTACAGTCTCACGTGAGCACTCTGACATGGTATCTCTGCTGACCATAAAGCCGTTGAACAATTTCTTAAAAGTATTTTAACTTTCTTACTTCATTAATGTTTTTTAACCAAACATCTCACACCATTCGACTATGCTCATACGATTTACCGTTTTACGATTTTCACTTGAATCATGCAATATTATGTCATTTCTACTGGCGACAATCATTATATGGTACGAATGTTGTTTTACCCGATTACTCGATGCGGCGATTCTTATAAAATTACTGTACTTGGCATGCGCAATTGTACGTGTATACACTACGTATATTTAACATAAAATTATACATTTGCATATTTATAATGTAGGCTTATCTTTTTTTGTCATTTTCTCTGTGCTTTCCATGAATTAACATTTACATATTTCTATTCTAATATCCTTTTTTTTCATTGTGTAACTTATTTACATATAAAATGCATTGCTTATTTTATAATTTAACATTACGTTTATTTTTACGTTAAATATTTGTCTTTCAGCTTCATATTTCTATTAATGCTACAACTGAGTTGATATTGATGGAAACTTTGGTTTTCGAATGCTGCTATTTCCTTTCAACTACTAATCCTTATATATATATATTTCTTTATTCGGAATTTGATATTGGAACCATCTCACATACGTGACAATATTATAAATTTCAATATTTACGATACTGCATCTTAAAAATTATTATCTTTCATTTTTCAAAAGACAATTTTTATATGATAAATGTGTACATCGGTACGTTTGTCTATTTTATATTGATCTTGATGTTATGCATATTTTATATGTTTATTTTATTTTGAAATTAACTCGGAAATCAGGATTAACATTGTTCAATTTCAAATTCATAATTTTTAATTTACAAATGGATTGATCACTATTTAATATGCTACGTTGTTGTTGTTGTTGTTGTTGTTGTTGTTATTATTATTATCATTATGATCGTGGTTGTCGGCGTCATCATCATTATTATGATCAAATATAAAAACAACAATGCGTCGCGTGTTTATTTATCGAAACTGCTCAAATTATAGCATTTATCAGATTTTAATTTGAAATCTTTGTATTTAAACATGCATTTTTAATGTAATATAATCATCATATAATACAGTGTTTTTTACATTTATTTTATAAATTTAAAAATCGTAATTAAGAGAAGGAAACCTCTCGTGTGTAGCATGCAAAAGACAACATAGAAAAGAAAAGAAAAAAATACACAAAAATGCACATTAATATCAATCGGCACATTTTTCAAATATAAATATACGCACGCGAGCACAAGCAATTAGACAAACATGGGTAAATATATGTGCGCGCGCGCGTGTCTTTACGCCTGTTAGTATTTCAGCGGGTAATAACCATCCATTTCAACATAATATATAATTATTGAATAAACGAGATTTATTTACTACACGCGTACTCAATAATGTATTTTAGCATTAATTACATAATTTCATCTGTGCGTAGGATTTTAAAAGCTTTTGCAATTTCATTCTATTATGTAAAATTTCCAGATTCACGTATAAACCAGTAGCATATAATAATGCAATTGAATTTATTAAAAAATTAGAATTTATTAATCGTACGATCAATCAAAAGTAGCAGTCGCTGAATGAGTCTATTAAATTAACTTAAAAATATTACGCTGGTATTAAGATTTTTCATGACGAGTTTTTTCAAATATTACATGCTGTCTTAAAGACATAAGACTTCGTGTACAAAATGATTGATGTGTGAAGTAGAACAGTCATTTATTAGTCAGCCGAGCTTTGAAGTACAATGATATGCAAAAGCATGCAAAGCACGTATGGTGCAGTCGTTTCTTTTTTTTTTTTTTTTTGCAGAGTAAGCATTGACAGCAACATTTTAAAGAATAATAAATTACTTGACGAATAGATGAAAAAAAGAAAAAGAAAAAAAAAATAAATGTCGTAAATCAGTGTCATAACAATGTACTTCGTGTATGAGAAATCAATCACGAACAAGACAACGACAGCCATATATATATATATATATATATATATATATATATATATATATATTTACATATATGTATATAATATGTTAATTAAATAGAGGGACTTACTCGTTCGAGGCCAGAATTGTCGGCGTTCCAGGCGATGACGGGTATACCTAAGTAGCCTGCCAATTGTAGAAAATATTGAGCGCTTGCCGTACTACTTCCGTACTGCTCGTTATTCATCAGGTAGAGTATCGCCGATACATTGAACGAGAGGAATTCCTTGCAGAGGGAGTTAAGTATATCTGTGTGACAGAATCGAGAGTAACAACGGTCATGGCGCCATCCTTTTACCACTAGCTCCTACGTATGGCTAAATTTATGTCTTGCCTTGCCACGGAGAAGCGTCGCTTCGACAACTTATAATATCGCGACGTGAAACTTTAGCCTATTTTCAGCTAAAATTAGATTTTTATGAACGATGGCTTATATAAAGAAGTCTGAGCCAGTTATCTTAAAGCAACGAACTTTTTGCAACGTTACTCTCCATTATTTTCAGCTTAAAAATATCACTGCTACGGACTGACTTTTTCTCCCGTCTTCAAAATAAAAATCCTTAATTGAAATTCACTATAACATCCAATCTACTTGAATTATTATGATTTTTAACTCTACCAAAGACGTGGATAATTTTTTTCAATTTTTCTTCCGTTTCAATTATTTTACATTTCAATCCCTTAAATTCACCAAACCCCCCCCCCTCTCCCAATCTGCCGTAGTCCTACAGCTCAAATAGGTTAACTAGAACGAATTTTCGAATATTTATCATCCCCGTAGAAAATTATGCTCATTCTGATTCTTTTGCAATAAGCGAGAGATATATTAGGACGCAAATAGCTGCACAGCCGTGAAAAACGAGCATTTATAGTACGATTTATTATGCTTAGTATTTATTATTCTCATTTATATTTAAATCTTAGAATGCCATCACATTCTCTAAAACGTAATTGTTGCAAACATTTCTTTATCTCCGCTTAATTTCCAAATGACATTAATACATAATTATAGGCTTATAAAGTAAGAAAAAAAAATTATCCTCCAATAGGAAATGAAAGAAAAATTACACAACATTTAATTACGATTTATCTCGTTTTTACTTTTACGTAGCCTAGATAAAAAAAAAAATATTTTTCACATAATGGTTTCACATAAATTCTTCTCACATTAAATTAAACAAGCAATTAATTCTGCGAAATTATTTTATTGTAATTAAAAAATATTAGGTGCAAAGTCTTAAAATAAGCTAAAATATACGTAAAATAAGCCAAAATAAATTGCAGAATAAATTGCAATCCAAATGAATGATAAATAGTACCAACATTAAAAAAAAAAATTATTAAGTAAAAATATCAAAATATTAATAATATGTGTTTGGGAAATTAATTTTTACTTTGCAATTTCAATGTCAAATTTCAGATTAAAAAGCTCAAAAAACTTATTTAATTATGTGCATATAATTAACATACACAGAAAATGACAATTTAAATTGTAAAATAATTGATATTATCGATAATGTTAATAGAATAAAAACTTATATTTACAATAAAGCTGTATATTCAAAAATCTCATCGATTAGCAATTTACAAGCTCATTTCAATATTCTTAAATACGATTCTATTAAACATAATGATAAAATAATTTCATTAATCTATCATCGCTGCGTACCAATACGATATTACTGACTGAAATTATCGGCTAATAATATTCGTTTTCGTCAATCGCGGTTTAAGCTGCGAAGAACAAAATACCTTTGCATCAGCACATGCATTGACGAAAGTTTTAAAAAATGTGAAACGATGTCTATGAAATTTTGCGACAATTAATTTGCTTAGTGAAATATTTCAAACTTGTAAATGCTTCTTCATTCATGATTGTTAATTTTTTGAACAAAAGCTTTTAATTTAATGTAATAACAACCCTTTGTATCTTACTAATCTCTCTCTAATCCCTTGATTCGCTTTCTTCTTCGTTGTGGTTAACTTTTTTTTTTTTTTTTTTTGTATTTTTTCATTACCTCTTTCGCGTCGCGTTTGTCATTGCTGAGACGAAAGAAAAAAAAAAGTATAGCGTACCTTGCGCTACGATGGACTTGCATAAAAGCTTATTTAACTTGTCCGTGAATTCGTAGATGGCAATAATGAAATGTGCCGAGTTATTATTTCATTTATGGATTATTTAAAAGCCACGGTGGCTTATGAAAATAAGAGAACGGTGAGAGTAAAATGGCGCGATTAGCAGCTCACTAGGCTGAAAAGAGAGCCCCGATTACTGCCAGAGCGAATGACAGTTGGTATTTTCGGTCAGCGAGTGGAATCCCGAAAATCCCACTGCAAATGCAAGATAAACGACGGCTGAAAGAGATGATCGCGAGGAGAAAATCCGCTGCTCGCTTAGGGCTCGAAAGCCGAGCCCTTGAATGTCCGTCGACTGTGTGTATGAAAGGGCGATGAAAGGCCACCGCTGCCACGGTCGGCTCTTTTTCCGATTCGGATGGAAAACAGAAAGGAAGAGAGATGGCAATGGATAGGAACGTTCGGACTTACTCATCGGGCTTGGTGTGAGCTCCTGCATCGCCACCTTCACGAAGATGTCGTAGTGCTGGAAGAGATCGAGGTTCGGGCGCTTGGTACTCTTTTGCAAAGCTGTCACCACTGTGCTCACCGCCCGCGTATAATCCCGGTAGTTGAATGAATTGTAGGGCACTGCCAGGCCCACCTGTTCGACAGATATCACAACAGCACTTTAAAATCTCGTTTCGTCGAGGGAAATTAACATCCCGACTTTAGCGATATTCCCACCCACTGTTTATACTACGTACATTACCAATAACACTTTCCATTGGAACGATTCCTTATTCCTTATTTGAAAATATCGTTGAAGAAGATAGTGGCGAAAGCGATTCCATTAATTATAGACAAATTTAAGTCTGTTTTTAATTATTTTCTTCGTACAACTCGGCTGCCCGAGCGAGCCTAGCGTCGATAAACTTTACGAAGTACTCGACGTTTATTAGACTATTAATTAGGCCACGCAATGATTATTAATAATGCGAATCTATGTCATTACGTTATTATAATAGAGTGATTATTATGTACGAGCACATTTAATAATTAATTGGCATCCTCGCAATCTTTCGCACTCATACATAATTCTAGGCTCTTTATGCTTTTCATGCTTTTTATGCTTTTTATGCTTTTTATGCTTTTTGCGCTTTTTGTGCGTTTTGTGCTTTTATTTTCAGATAAACGGGCAGAACTGTATAAAACGCGTTTGGCAACTGTGTTGATTATTTGACGTTGAGTACCGTAAATCATTCGTAGATCGCTCGCTTCCTCGGGCAAAGGTGTTGCGTTATTTTTATAGGGAGTTTTTATCTAGCTTTTATGCGAAAATCTTGCTTCTTCACAGCATCATCATTAATGTTCATCGTTGAATTCCCTAAGCTTCTGTTATTACCCATATTGCTATTATTATTATTATTATTACTATTATTATTATTATTATTATTATATACATTATCATTGTATATTGTGTCTGTTTCCAAACTACTGAGAGTTTATTTGCTTCTACACTATTAGTTTTATTATCAAGTCTTTTCCTTAAGTCTTAAGTATAAAATACTAATCATTATTTTAGTATTGAGTCTATATCGATGTATTTTTCCATATAAATGTGCCATAATACATAAATAACTAAAAAATAGTAATGATAAGTGCAAAATAATGCACTACATACATTGTGAATTAGATAATTGATATATCTGTGTGTAAAATTATCCTTCGATGCAACATTTTGCATTGATTGTCAATATTTTAATGGACCAGATGCTTCATTGTCCTTTAACGTTGAACGACTGTGACAATTTACGTGGCTGGCCTCTTGTCGACGCGCCGAATGCTCGTTTTAATAGAATTTCCAATTTTACTTTTACGCGATTCTTAACAACCATTCCCATTTGCCGATACACAATCTACGTGTACTTTCACTGCATTCTAATCAACGTGCAAAAAAGATCAAGGAAAAATGAATGAAAAAAGAAAAACATCGAACAATCGTCGATAGCTTCGGGCAAATGGAAAGCCACGACAATACCTGTAATCAAAGCATTGTTTATCCATGCAAGTCTACCCTAATAAATGTACAAGTTTTGCGTTTCAGCATTCGCACGTCACTTATTTATTAGCCCGAAGAAAAAAACGCTGAACGAGCAATTGAACTTACACTAATGTGCCCTCGCAATTCGCTTAATATTGGTTATAGGCACTCTCCACATGCGCGCTCGCTCGCGCGCGCACACACACAGAGCCAAGCGAGAAATCTGCGATAAAGCGAATCTATGAAATCCGAAATCGAAGGTTCAATCGTCGCGCGACAGATCAGAATAAAGTTTTAGCGATCGTGGAAACTTTACAATTGGGCACTAGGGCTTTTTGTTTATATTTCCTTGCTGCGTTATCACGGCTGAACAACATTTCAAAAGTTTCCCATCTGTTCGAGAGCTTCGATCACCTGAGAACAAATGTCCCACATAGTAGGGGAGCTTAATAATTCTTTCGCATGTTTCATTTCAATTCGATATTTTTTAATGGAAATATAAGTTAATATAAATATAAGAGCTTCCTTTAACGTAGACAATTTTCAATAATAATGGAGTTATAGCATCGTCGATTAATTGTTTTCAAGTTTTTTTTTTGTGTATGTTTTTTTTTTTATTGCCGTTGCACGATTCTTTGGTCGACATTTTAACTTTATTATTATTATTCGTCCAATTTTTATGATGAACGTTTTTCTTTGTACATAATTCTAGTTAAAATGTTTTATCTACGTATTCAAAATTCTTAGGTCCAAAACGACATGCGTAATAATTATAAAACAAATATAAGAAGAGTCCAGATAAAATATTCATAATTTTGTAAATTTAAATGAGATAAAGATCAATGCTTATTTTATATATTGTTCGCCAATATTTATCGGATTAATTTAGTTCGTTATTCCAGCGCCATTCAATGTAAATATTAATATTTCATTGGAGATTTACATTTTTCATCAAAACTTTGCGAGTTTTTTCATTTTAAAGGATTATAATAGAATCGATTAATCGAATAAATTAATTATATTAATAAATTAATAATATTAATTTATATTATATTGACATACAAATGTTAGTTTGACATTTTTAAAACGTCTTGCCATCTCGAGTAAATTATTTCACGGACGATTGCAAAGATAAAGGCTTAAAGTCAATAGATTTATATTGAACTTATACTATGTAAATAGTTAATAAACATTAAGGATAAAACTTATTACTTTTATACGTATAATAGGCGTATTAAGTAGACGATGAATATCAGAATAACAATTGCGAAAATGCAAATCGAATATTTGAAGTATTCAATATCGATTTTGGCTTTGCCATCTTCCGATTAATTCTGTTAATTTTCCATTCCATTACTATAACTATGAGTCTGCTTAATAAATATTACTACTATTATTTTATATAGTCGATCTCTTATTTAAATTCATACGATATTTTAAATGTAAAATAATGTATTTTTAAGTCAAAATCAAATGGCGCATAACTTATCGACAGATTATATAGTCCCGTACGCCTAATGTAAGGTAAGAGACTCAATCCTTTATACTAAGGAACATTTGAAAATTGACATTTTCATAAATCGCTTATTAAATTTTCACTTTCCGTGAACTAAAAACATATGCCTCACGTTTAGTAATCTTTTTGTAGCCGAGTATTATCCTAAACTTTGTAAATATAATGCTCATTGCTAATGTACGCGATATTATGTGTTTCAGAAAGGATACGAAAATATAATTGTCAATATAAACAAATGGATGATATTATCATCGGAGCGATATCAGTTATGATAAATATTCCCCCAATCAGGAATTTGTGAAAACTTCGGAAACATAAAATCTAAATAGTGAGTATGAAAAAAGAGGGAGAGCACTATATGCACTTTATTCGTGTAATGTCATATAATTATGCTAGAACGCACTCGAGTCGATTGGATTTAATCGACAAAACCTTCAGCCACTTCCATGATAACGTGGCGAGTCTCTTTGTATAACGAAGCTCGCGAGGAAAGTTCTTACTGAAAATTATGCTCCTTTAATCTAACAACACGTATATCGACGCTTTTCTTTTACAATCAACAAATTGAATTTTTTATTTTATACTTACTCAATTAGCTATCTACTGTTCGATTATTATATTACGTTATTATTACATTATTATTACAATATTATATTTTGCCAATAAGTAAGCATTTGTTGCACTACACTCAAACTTTTAATAATAAATAATTATGTAAATTACAGTTATAAGTTTATCCACATAAATTGGAAGAACAAGCGACTTTTTAAATAATTACAGATCGTGAATTTTAATGGATATTAAATATTCATAACAGGTGTTATTTAAAATTATTTTTTTTTTTTTTTTTTTTTTTTTTTTTTTAATCAATTTCCTTTTATTAAATATCGAATTTTGAGCATAAGATAATAATAATACACAAATAAACATAATGACAATGTTAGATCAATAGTTCCTTGAAAATACTTGAAACTTGTGACGTGAATTATACAACGAATAATAGAGTCTTCGGGAAATAAAACTCTTTTATTTCCTTCCGGTGAACTATGATAATATTACGGAATATCAAAGTTAAGTGCACACGTTTAATATAATACGAGTAGCATATGAAATCATTATAAAAAAGGTCTCACTTTGCTTACTTTGTTCTGAATTGTTGAATCACCTCCCATGTTACGACTTTATACAAAAGTTGTCCGATGTCGCAGACGACAGTGACGGTAATTTTTTTTTTTTTTTTTTTCTTTTGCTCGTAATTTTAATTGCAAATTCGAATAAAATGAGAAGTACATTGTTAACTATATATGTATACATAATAACAATTTCATGTTACATCTACCTAATTCGTCGTCTTTGCATGCCATTCGAGCAAATCCACCAACAATATTCTTACGATGCAAGAACAATTTAGCTCGGAACACGTGGAATTTCAATTTAAAGATTCGGCACACGCCCGGCCCGAATCTACTCGTGCGACAACGAGAATTCCAACCATTCGCAACGATTCTCCATCACCCTCCTCCTCCTCCTCCTCCCAAACTCCAATTCCAATCTTTATGTGAAAATCTGCGCATAAGCGCTCGCAAGGCGCTAAGCTCGTAATTCTACACATTTCCACCTTCTACCTATTTTCGGCGCTCTACGTCATTTTGACTTATATTAATCGAATAGCGCGCGTGCTTTATGTACGAATAACCCAGAGTATAACAAGCTCGCCGATGATCTAGGATTGCATAAGAGGTGTGATAGCGCTGAGCACCAACAGCGACCTACACACACGTACGCATGTCAGGTAGCCAAGGTAATTGGAGTACTCGTTAATTCGTTAACAGTCCGAGTTGACGCGGAGAGAAATAAGGCAGAAATAAGTTAGCATGAGGCTTTTCATCTAAAATCTATATGCAAGTTGAGCTTCGAAGCCGAAAACTACGTCCCTCGAGCCTTGTATAGGAATTTAATCGTGCCGGGATGAAATAGGAATGCCCGAGGTCGATATAAAGTACCGGTGAGGCTTTTGCTGGAAGCTACACTTGGAAGATGCTTGGCACTAGTAAAGCCACTTTCCTACAAATTTATTGATTTCATAAAGCTTCGAAGCGTTTTAAAGCGCAC